CGCACACACACACACACACACACACACACACACACACACACCCCACACACACGCCCACACACACACATCCCCACACACACACACCCCCCCACAAACACACACACACACACACACACACACACACACACACACACTGTTAAAATTAAATAAACCTTTATTTATTTTTAATTTTGTTACTTTTGTTTTTTTTGAGACAGTCTCTCTGGGTAGCCCTAAAACTACTGACATAAATCTACCTGTCTGTGCCTCCTGAGCACTGGGATTCAGGATGAGCACCACTACACACAGCTTTTTCATTTTTAAAAAATATTTTACCATATGTGTATGGGTGCTCCGCCTGCATGCATTTCTGTACACCATGTGCATGCCTTGTGTTTTCAGAAGCCAGAGGAGGGGGTTTGATCCCCAGAACTGGAGCTACAGGTGGTTGTGAGCCACTTTGTGGGTGCCAGACAACGAAACTGGATCCTCTGGGAGAGTAGCCAGTGCTCCTACCCACTGAGCCATCTCTCCAGGCCCTAAACCTTTTTTTTCCTTTGGTTTTTCAAGACAGGGTTTCTCTGTGGCTTTGGAGGCTGTCCTGGAACTAGTTCTTGTAGACCAGGCTGGTCTCGAACTCACAGAGATCCACCTGCCTCTGCCTCCCGAGTGCTGGGATTAAAGGTGTGTGCCACCACTGCCCGGCTCCTAAACCTATCTTAAAAAGATATTATAACTAAAAATTATTTAAAAACTAAAATGAGGGCTGGAGAGATGGCTCAGCAGTTAAGAGCACTGACTGTTCTTCCAGAGGTCCTGAGTTCAATTCCCAGCAACCACATGGTGGCTCACAACCACCTTGAACGAGATCTGGTGCCCTCTGCTGGCATATGGGCAGAAGACTGTATACATAATAAATAAATAAAATCTAAACAAATGATGACTAGACTCACATTTAACTTCCCCACAGTGTATGAAGCATCAGGCAGAGTATTACAGAAATATAGTATTTTATTGTTAAACCTGGTTTTTAAAATGTTCATGGTTTGGGGTGTCATCATTTTGGTGTGAATCATGTAAATGTTGGCTGTATGCTGTTTATTACACTCTAGTGTCAGGACATGCACTCAGCGGCTGTTCTGCCCACACATACCGTGTAGTCTGCAGTTTTTTAAGTGACATTAACAGAATAGTTCATGTAGGGAAATCTCAGAGGTCGTCACCTCCCCACTTGTCATGAGTGTCAGCTGCTTTCTTAGCTGAAGTCATCAGAGTATACCTGCATATACTCCATGTATCACCAGAGGCAGTGTATTTGCGAGCTGTCTGCAACTAAAAATTAGAATAAAACCATTTTCTTGTAAAAAAAATCTAAAAAAAAAAAACCAAAAACACTAAAATGAGAGAAAGAACAAATACAAACACATTGAGTTTGTACACATTCAGCATGTGTCAAGTCCCATCTCCAAGCCTGGAAACAACACACACACCACACACCACAACTCACACACACCACACCTCACATATACACACACATCACACATACACTAAGAAAACTCAAGTCATGATGGACTTGGACAGCGCCCCTATAAGGTCACCAATCTCCCTCTGAAGTACACACCCCAGAAAGCATCTGATTGATTAGTTTGAGTCACATGTCCTTCCCAGGTCAGTTATGGCTGACAGGTCAGCGAACTGGAAATGGGTGCCCAGATGCGAGGGGCCTGACTTCCTGTCGCAGGCCTCTGGGTCCTGGGGAATGGGGTAGGGATGATAGCTGGGGGATCGGGGGAGCCCTGCAGAGCAGATATTTATTTGCCTTCCTGTCCCTAGGATAACCCTTTTCGCCAGAGGATTGCACAGGTCTTCTCTCAAGATGGGGATGGTCACATGACCTTAGAGAACTTCCTGGATATGTTCTCAGTGATGAGTGAGATGGCTCCACGGGACCTGAAGGCCTACTATGCCTTTAAGATTTATGGTGCGTGCCGGGCCCTGGGGTGGGAGCCAGACAGAGACCACGTAATGCTCATCTCTCCAGGGACTCCAATGTCCACACAGCCCTGGCCTCCACCCTGTCCCAGACCACCTTGTACACTATTCCAGCCACATTAGGCTCATCCTTTCTTGAATTTATCAAATGCTTCCAGCCCCATGACATTTTCTTCTGCTGTGCTCTCTGCTTACAGCACCATCTACAGCTCCTCACTGGGGATCTCTAGGCAGGGGCTCCACCCCGGAGCCACACCCCATCCATCTGTTTGTGTTCAGTCCTTTCTGAATGAGGGTATGTAAAATAACAGCACTTTTCTCAGGGCCTGGCCCATAATAGGCACTCAATACTCACAAGTGAGTCAGTGAAGAACAATTGCCAAGGCATCCAACACACAGTAAATGAACCAATAAAACTCTCCCAGGCCTCAACAGCCCCATACATGGTGACTCCTCCATTGATTGATTCACTTGAACTCCTGGGCTTGTCCTGGATGTCCCTGCCCTCAGCCACATCTGCTGTGGAGGTCATCAGGAGCATGTAGACCCCTCTGTGGGCAGGCGCACATCTAAACACCTAAAACAATCTTTTACACCATGCGGTGGTGGCGCACTCCTTTAATCCCAGCACCCAGGAGGCAGAGGCAGGTGGATGTCTGTGAGTTCAAGGTCAGCCTGGTCTACAAAGCTACACAGAGAAACCCTGTCTCAAAAAAACCAACCAAACAAAAAAACCAAAATAACCTTTTACATTATTTATTTTAGCACGTGTGTGTATGTGCAGGGGGGGCGTTAGTGAGTGACAAATCACTACCACAATGGCTGGCAAATAGTAGGTATTCAATACATACTTGATGAGCTGGAAAATGAATAAAAAGCAACTATCATGATGTCTGGCACATAGTACATATTTAATAAATAATTGCTAAGTGAATGAATACCAAAAAAAGTTCACACATGTGGCACATGGTATGTACCTAGTAAATATCTCCTGAATGAGTGGATGTGGTGCCTGGCACATAGTGAGTGCTCAATTAGTTGACTGGATGGGTGGATAGATGAAAAAGTTATTCCAAGGTTGGCAAACAGAAGGCACTCAATAAATGCTTAAGTAAGAGAAAATCAGTCAGCTGGGCGTTGGTGGCGCATGCCTTTAATCCCAACACTCGGGAGGCAGAGGCAGGCAGATCTCTGTGAGTTTGAGGCCAGCCTGGTCGCCAGAGACAGTGCCAGGATAGGCTCCAAAGCTACACAGAGAAACCCTGTCTCGAAAAAAAAAACAAAAAACAAAACACACACACACACACAAAAAGAGAAAATCAGTCATCGTGGTGCCTGGCAAGTAATAAGTGTTATATAATTAAACAGTTGTTATAAAGGCTGGGATGGCTCTCAGTGCCTAGGGTGAGAAGCTCTGGGTAATCAGTAGGTGATCAATAACTGCTGCATGAATTTTGGGCATCCCTGTATAGTTCCAAAGCATGGGGACAGACATGCCCTCCTGCCACATGGTGTCCCTAACCCTACTGTTGACTTCACAGACTTCAACAATGATGACTACATCTGTGCCTGGGACCTGGAGCAGACGGTGACCAGACTGACCCGAGGGGAGCTGAGTGCCGAGGAGGTGACCCTGGTCTGTGAGAAGGTACTGGACGAAGCAGACAGCGACCACGATGGGCGGCTATCCCTGGAGGACTTCCAAAACATGATCCTGCGGGCACCAGACTTCCTCAGGTGCAGGTTCAGACCCAGGGATGAGAGACCCCAGGGACCTCCCCTAGATGCTGTGGCTTCAGCCCACTCTGTCCAAGGACCAAGACTGGGAGGCCGAGGGCAGCTCCTGTGGACAGAAGCAGTGTTTCTGTCAGATGCCATAGCGTTTTGCTGTGAACTGTCCACATGGCTGTCCTTGGCAGCCTGGGGTAAGGGAAGAGCCCCTACTGCAGGGCTGGTGGGTATGACACAGGGTTGGTAGACTATGGTCCAGGGCTACATCCATCCATTCCTTTGTTTGTTTGTTTGGTTTGCTTTTTTCTCAGAAAGGGTCTCACTATTTAGACCTGGCTGTAGCATGAGTTCTAATTGGTCTTAATAATAAAAATCCAGAGTCAGATATTAGGGGTTTGAAAGCTGAATGATCAGAGAAGCAGAGCAGCCACTAGAGATCTTACCTCCTGGAAATCCTCAGACTAAAAAGAAACAGAGTTCCTGTCTCCTCTTGCCTTATCACTTCCTGTCTATCTGTATAGACCTCTAGCCCTCTATGGTTAGCTAGTGGCCAGCTCTGCCCTCTGATCTTCAGGAAAGCTTTATTTGTTAGAGTATAAACAGCATATCACTACATTTCCCCTTTTTTGTCTAAAATTAAAAGGCTATAACTAATATACGAAAAACTATATACAATAAGTATATACAATGTAAACAGACAATAAATACATCAACAATGTCTAATCCATTAGCAACTGACAAATCCGGAGAAAATACTCCATATCTATCCTATCTTGGTGAGTCCAAAAGGTTGAACTAATTTACTTTCTATTCTAACTTGCATTACCAAAACCATCTTTTTATGTCTCTTAACATTCTACACTTTACATTTCTTTTTTTTTTTCCAGACAGGGTTTCTCTGTGGCTTTGGAGGCTGTCCTGGAATTAGCTCTTTGTAGACCAGGCTGGTCTCAAACTCACAGAGATCCTCCTGCCTCTGCCTCCCAAGTGCTGGGAGAGGTGTCTGCAACCAAAGCCTGGCTGCTTTACATTTCTTTAGTGAACTTCTTTTCTGACTCTGGTAACAAGGAAAACTATAACTACAAATTATTCAACTCCATCAGAGACCCGACAAGGAAATAATATTACCTGAGTAAGCAGGAAGTGCAAGCGACTTCCAAAAAATGTGAGAAATGACAGAAACAGCCGGCTGCCTGAACAGTCACCCAAGGGTCCTCTGCAATGTTGGGGCACCCATCTTCAGCCTGATTCTTTCTTGTAACTGAATAAATAACAAAGTCAATTCTGTATCATCTGGTATAAATTTAGAAGTTTTAATATGTAAAACAACTTTCTGCATATTGCAAATCAGTAACTGTTGAGAGGTTCCATAGAATCCATTAATACCATGAGAATAGCATATAATTCTGACTTTTGGACAGAATCATAAGAACTTTGCATCAGTATAGAATGTAGGGTCTCCAGATATTGGTGCTCCCTGAACAATGTGAGGAAGGACCCAGTTAGTTCTCTTATAAGTTGAATTCTCTTGCTTTTGGGATATTTATTTTTAATCTCTCCCAAAATTTTTCTGCTCATAATTTGTCAATTTCATCATTAGTAAAAGGTACTACAATTTCTGCTGGATCTATTCCTGCTAATTGATTGTCTCAATTTTCCTTTTAGAATCGACTCAGAGACCTTTTCCACATAAGTTTTTATTTTTTACTCTGCTTGGGTGGTAAAAAGATCCATTCTAACACAATATCTTCCCTCTGCATTAATATTCCTGTAGGAGAATGCCGAGAGGGTAAAACAACCAAAATACAATCAAGTTTTGGATTAGAACAATCCATATGTGTATTCTGTAATTTCTCTAAGCTTCAGCTGATATTTCTGTTGCACTATTTAAATCCTTGTCATTGTCTAAGGTTTTAAACAAATTACTCAGTTCATTTTTTTCTACTCCAATAGTGGGCCTTAGATAGTAAATGTCTCCTAGCAATCTTTGAAAGTCATTAAAGTTAGCAATCAATCTCTCCTAATTTGCAACTTTTGGGGTCTGATTTTCTGTAGACCTATTTTATATCCTAAATAATTAATAGACTCTCCTCTTTGTATTTTTTCAGAAGCAATTTGTAATCTTCAACAAGGCAATGTTTTTTTTTCACTTCTTTAAACATTCTTTCTAATCAACTGATCTACATTTCTACATTCTAATCTACATTTGAGCCAGCTAGTAAAATATCGTCCATATAGTGGTAAACTATAGGTTGGAGGAATTGCTTACATACTATTCCTAATGGCTGACTTATAAAATATTGGCACAGGGTGGGGCTATTTAACTTTCCCTGGGGAGAACCTTCCATTGATCTCTCTCTCTCTCTCTCTCTCTCTCTCTCTCTCTCTCTCTCTCTCACACACACACACACACACACACAATCTCTCTCTGTTTTTTTTTTTTTTTCTGAGACAGAGTTTCTCTATTGCTTTGGAGCCTGTCCTGGAACTCACTCTGTAGACCAGGCTGGCCTTGAACTCACAGAGATCTGCCTCTCCCTGCCTCCTGAGTGCTGGGATTAAAGGCATGTGCCACCAATGCCTGGATTCCAGTGACATCTCTTAATAGGCTAAGAATTATAAGTAGGTATCCCGACCTGCAGGACATCAACCTGGGGCAAGAGAGTCAGGGATAGGGAATGGGGACAAGAGACGCAGAAAGAATGACCACAAGACAGGGTTCTGATCAAGTGGCAAACTTTACTTTTTCCCAGGCTAGCTTATATAGTCGGCAGAGCAGGATATGGGGAGGGGTAGAATGGGTTGTTTGTGCACCAGGTGTTGGTATAGGCAGGATATTAGGAAGCCACAAAGAGGATGTTTGACAAGGTAAAGAGTTCATGAGTAAGAGGTCCGGGAAGAGGTTGCCTAGGTGACTGAGCCTGTGGTGGAGGCCTGGGTCAAGCTGTTTCTTTTCTTGAGCGGAGGTTCTAAGGAGCTGCTATGTGAAGGTTAACTATGTGGCCTGCCAAGCATGGCCTAGAATCTCATGCCAAGATCTGAGATTTGGCTCCCAACAAGTAGGCACCATGAAGGCAAATTTTTCTGTCTTTTTCTTGTAAAGGTATGTGAAAAAAACACCAATCTTTTAAATCAATCACTATAAGAGGCCATCCTTTAGATAATAAAGAAGGCAAAAGAATTCCAGACTCTAGAGTGCATTGGCTGAATCACCTAATTAACAGCTCTTAGATCTGTTATCATTCTCCATTTCCAGATTTCTTTTTAATAACAAGGGCTGGCTGATTCTTCAATATGCTGAGTATTTATCTGACTCTGTTCTAAGGCCTGCAGTTTCTCTGTTGTTAAAAGCAGTTGCTAAACCCATCCAGGTTTGTCCATCAACCATTTTAAAGGTAGGGCTGTTGGTGCCTTTGAAAGATCAGCAGCTGTTGAGCCCTGGTCTTGTACAACCTGAATGGCCAGTGACTGTTCTTTAGAATACCTTCTAATATTGTTCTCAGAAACATATGTTAATTTATGGTTTGTTTCTGAGATTGGAGGGATGGTAATCTGAGTATTCCATTGCTGTAACAAATCGGATCCCCATAAGTTCATTGCTATGTTAGCCACACATGGCTTTAATTTTCTTCTGTCCTTCTGGCCATATACATTTGACCCATATCCAGTTCTCTTTACCTGAGATAAAGTTCCAATCCCTAAAAGCTGAACATTTATCTCCTGAAGAGGCCAATTTGGATTCTCAGATTCTGGTGCAATTATTGTGACATCCACACCAGTGTTTACCAGATCTTCGGTGACTATACCATTTATTTGGATTTCTTTTTTGTTTTGTTTTTCGAGACAAGGTTTCACTGTGGCTTTGGAGCCTATTCTGGCACTCGCTCTGTAGACCAGGCTGGCCTCGAACTCACAGAGATCCACTGAGCAAAGGCCCTGGTGTTGACATCCAGCCTCAGTCCTATGGGTGCAGGGGAACTACTGTCTGTGACTTCTAGGGCGTCCATCCCCCTGGTGATCCCTGCTTGCCTCTGGGTCTAGAAGAGGGCGTGTTGGGGATCCAGTGTCTATTTGTGAGTTGTCAGTGATAACTCTGCTTTTTGTATACAGCACCTTCCACATCCGAATCTGACAGACCCAGAGGAAGTGACCTGGCCCTCACCCATCCATCTGACCTCTGAATAAACAGGAATCAAACCTGCCTCGGGGTCTTTACCTTTTGCTGTGTGGATTGCCATCTTCCATTCATATTTTAAACTCCAGGTGAGCGAGCATATGGAAGAAGTCCAATGCCACACCATAGCTCCTTCCAGAGGCCAACTTGAGCCCAGGGGTGCCTCATTTTTCACTCACACCTCCATGTTTTGTGAATTCCAGGAGCCCAAGGTTGTCCCAGGGCCTTTGAGTAGAGCACTCTCCTGCCCACAAGGTGGTTACCCCACCAGACAGCCCAGACACCCTGAATCTTTCTAGACCACTTGCCTGTTGATTAAGAGCACCAGGTTCTGGGGCTGAAGAGATGGCTCAGCTATTAACAACACCTGCTTCTCTTGCAGAGGACATGGTCCTTGGGTTGTGTTCCAGCAGCTACATGATGGTGGTTCTCAACTGCCTTAGCTTCCCATTTCAGCAGACCCGACGCCACCTTCCGGCCTGAATGGGCACTTATGCGCACCTACCCACCCACGTATATACTTTTAAAAATGAAAATAATTCTAGCCGCTTGGTGGTGGTGCACACCATTAATCCCAACACTTGGCAGGTGGATCTCTGTGAGTTCAAGACCAGCCTGGTCTACATAGTGAGTTCCAGGACAGCCAGGGCTATACAGAGAGACTTTATCTCAAACAAAACAAAAATAATAATAATGAAAATAGGCAAGGCCTTGTGGAGCACAACTTTAATCTTGTTACTCAGGAGGCAGAGGCAGGTGGCTCTCTGCCAGTTCTGACACAGCCAGGGGTACATGATGAGACCCCGTGTCAACCAATAGTGGTGATGCTGATGCTGATAAGTAGAAGCCCCAGTCTTCCCTGCCTTCCTCATGCCCCAAGTGAAGAAGCGTGCCCAGAGAGGTCTGCGTTCATCAACGATCACATGGTGCTTTAATGTAGGAATCCCTTCAGAGGCCACTGCCAACCCCACCTTTGTGTTTTGTGGGGGCATTTGTGTGTGCTTTTATACAGTGGGAGGTCAGAGGACAACTTGTAGGCGTCGGATCTCTCCTTCCACCGTGGGTCCTGGGGCTCAAACTCAGATCCTCGGGCTTAGAGGCAAGAGCCTTTACTGGGGTTATCTTGACTGTTCAGATTACTTTTAACTCTGGTCTGTGTTAGTATGTAGGCATCTGTGCTGGCCTGCCCTTGGAGTTCTGACAGGGTAAGTCCTCAGCTAGCTGCAGCTGCTAACAGCACATTCACTATGTTCCTTTTTAAAAGGTGGGCCTTCCCCACCTTCCCTCTCCCGACCCATTCCATCAGCCCCCCTTTCCTCTGTATAGCTACTCCTGTCCCCAGCCTCCCTCTGCCCCTCCCCCTTTCCCATTCCCTTCCTCCAATAGGAAAACTCTCCACACGAGCTCTGCCAAATGATGGCGTGGCTTTCTCTCACCTGCCCTTTTATAAAAACAGTCTAGAATTCATCAAGTGGGCTAATGTGGCTGAGTGGGACATAGAGGACTAACTCATGATCAGAGAGGCTGGGATACAGGCCTGACATGTGTTGTGCCCACCGAGTCACTGCGATAATTATTCTTAAAGTTGTATTTACTATGTGTGTGTCAACACGTGTGTGGAGGTTGGAGGACAACTTTCAGGTGTTGGGTCTGACTCACTCCTTGGTGTGAGTGCCAGGGATTGGACTCAGCTAGTTAGGTTGCCTGCAAGCCCTTTACTCCCCTATCGATGGCCCATCTCATCCGAGTCCCTAAAGTGGTAATTCTATTATTATTAGAGCAATCAGGTCCCTCTGTTGACAACTGCAGAATTCTGCCCTGTAGCCCTCGCACAGTTCTCTGGTTGTGAGGGCAGGGGTGGGGACTGGAAAGAAGAGATGGGTACCCAAGACAGAGAGGGTGCTATCAGTACCCAGGGGCAAAAGGTGGTGGTCGGAGGTATTCCTCAGGTAGCCAGTCCTGGGCTTCTGGCAAGTCTTCAGGCTCTGACTTGGTTGCCTGGACCGAAAGGGCCCTCGCCACCTTTCCACGCCAGGCCCTGACCCCTGAGACTGCCTCCTTCCAGCTGGCAGGCCTGGAGGCTGTGAAGGTGGATTCTCTGCTTCTCTGGGCCTGGGGCTCTGAGAGGTTCTGGAGAGAGGTGGCTGCACCAGGGTCCTTGGAATGGCTAGCACTGTCCCAGCTGGATACTCGAGTCACTGGACTGCAATGCTGCACCACACGCCTGGCATCGCCCAGCAGGTTTGTGGCTGACAGATGCGAAGTGAGCCGCTGTTTCACCCTCCGGCTGGTCTCTGGCAGAGTCCTCAGGTTCTTCCACAGTTTCTGTCCTGCCTCCCCAAAATGTGCTTTTGGGGAGCACGGGGCTGATGGGAGCTTTCCATCAGTTGCTGCGTTAGGCCTCCTTTCAGGAGCCTGGAACAGAGAACATGGAACAGGGAAGGGCTGGCCTGGGGCCCGGCTGATCAATAAAGCTCTAGGCAGCCCCACAACCTCGTCCCAGAGCGCTGGAGGAAGCCCAAGCCCTATCCCTGGCCCATCCTAACCCATCTCTGTGTGTGGCTTCACCCCTGCTCAATCATTTATTCACTCATCTACACTGAAGATTCATTAACCTAACTCCTTCAAATGGCCAGGTCCTGGGTGGGCTCCTTGAGGCCTGGTGGGGCACACCGTTAATCACAACACTCAGAAGGCAGAGGCAGGAGGATCTCTGTGAGCTTGAAGCCAGCTTGGACTACATAGGGAGGTCAGGCCAGCCAGGGCTACATAGAGAGACCTTGTCTCAACAGAAACAAACAGAAACTCTTCCTAGGCCAGGTGTTGGTGGCACAAGCCTTTAACCCCAGCACTCGGGAGGCAGAGGCAGGTGGATCTCTGTGAATTCGAAGCCAGCCTGGTCTAGAGAGTGAGTGCCAGGATAAGAAGAAACCCTTCCTCTTGGAAGGGTGGGGACAGCTGTGCAGAAGGAGTCATCTGGACTTTGAGGTTTGATGGGAGAAACAGAAAGGATACATACACACCCAGAATAAACAAAAGCCTCTCAGTTGGAAGTTGTTCTCTGCAACAACCACACAGGGTGATATGTGTGGGGAAACACTTGTATGACTTCTAAAAGAAGAATCCAGGCAAGTGCCATGGTCCTGTGGAGGGACCCGAGGAGGAAAGGCCTGGAGCAGAGCAGCACAACAGGTTCTCAGGGTGGCTGGTAGGTCGATCTGAACATAGGAGGCAGCTGAGGGCGAGGATCTGAGGTTGCAGAGTCCTTGGTTGCTTCTGACGGGGTGGGGATGGAGCCCCGAACCTTAGGCACCCCTGACAAGCTCTCTACCACCGAGCAACACACAACCCAAGACTGCAATGTGGAGTCTAATTTGAGAGTCTGGAAATCACTCAGAAGCTTTTTTTTTTTTTTTCTTTAATTACCTAGCTACAAAAGAGAACTCTTTCTAGAGAGGGCCTGCTCTAGCATCTTTCTCCGACCAGGCTAGAGGTGCCACCTGGGGCCTACCTCCTCGGGTGGGCAGGAAGAAGGCCTCTGAACTTCAGTGGGGCCACGGCTTTCAGCATCCTGAACCAGGGCATTAGAGTACAGTAAGAGATCTTCGTAGTCCACGTTTGCTGGATCCTTCTGCAGGGTGTGGAAGAGACATAGGGCTCAGACCTAACAGTGAAAAAGGCTGGAGTGAGGAGAACCATGGGTGGTGGGGAACCCCTGACCAATCTCTGAACCCAGGTCACACCCACCTAGCCTCAGGGAAAGAGCCCCGCCCACAGTTTCTAGATCACGCCCACAAGTCTCAGATGGTAGAAAGACCTCCAACTACTGCAGATCTTAGGCTACACTCATCGTCCATTAGAGGAAAGAGCCCCTCCCACAGCAGGTTTAGGTCACATTTCTCATTCATAAACTGAAAGAGCCCAGCTCACATCAGGTAGGCCAAGCCCACCAGCCTCAGAAGAAAGCCATTCCTGTAGATGAACCCCTGTGAATTCCCTGCAGGGGCCTTTGGCACTCCCCGGTCGCCGGCTGGTGTCCTCTTGCCCTCACCTGCCCGCAGGCTTGTGTCAGAAGCTCCCGGTATGGACGAATAGGTTTCTGCTGGTGGAAAGTGACCAGGGCGTCGAGAGAAGCGTGGGTCACATGATCCCCAGCAAGGATGAACGTCCCATCATCTGAGAGTTTCACCATGAAGTGACGGCAGCAGGTCTGGGCTCTGTGGAGACACTGCTGGGATTGGGATGCTGCCAGCGTGCCTTGGTTTCCCCAGTTACCATGCAGGATTTCTAAGGTCCACCGCAAGAGTTCTTGGGTGGATGAAGTAAGGGGATACAAGCTAATTGTAGTGCCTGCCTGTCATCCCTGCGCTGGAGAGACTGAGGGCAAGAGGATGGAGGTTTGGAGGCCAGCCTAGGCTACATAGTGAGACACTGTCTCAACCAAATAGTAGTAGCAAAATGATAATAATCTTTTCATTTTAAAGATACAATCTCATGTAGCCCAGGCTACACTTAAACTACTACGTAGCTAAGGATGGCCTTGAATTCCAGATCCTCCTGCCTCAGCCTCCCCCCACCCTTTGTTGGGTTAACAGATGTGCACCCCCACATTACATAATCAGTCCAAGGAACCCTCTCCAAATAGGAATACGGGGAGAAAGAGAAAGAAAGAACAGGGTGTTTGTGTGGAAGCTCAGCCCCCCACTCCAAATCCTGCGTGGCTCCTCCTCCTGAGCTCAAGCCACACCTACAGGGTATTTAAGATCTGATCCCTAGACCTAGACAGGACAGGCACCCAGGAGTTGCTTTGCTCTGTCTTATTAATTCGGCTAGATTTGGCTTATTGCATTGGCAGAGAAACCCACAACAGGGGATTTCAAAATACTTATCAGAGATGGAGGACGGAAGTAAGGAAGGAAGGGAGGGAGGGAGGGTGAGAAGGAGGGAGCGAGGAAGACTTGTTTTCCCTGATGCTCTAAGATGCCAAAATCAGGCTTTGAGGCCCCAAGACCTGGCTTCCCTGACCCAGACTCATGTCACTAATTTGAAGGTGAAGGGTGCAAGGAGGCAGGAACCACCCTCAGATCCTGCCCCGTGCTCAGACGAGTCTCAAGTCTGCCCCAGTGTTCCATGACTGCTGGATACAGGCAGGCCGCAGACTGGGCAGACCCCTCATGCATGAGGTGATCTTGGCCATCTTCCAGAAGCCTTGGTCTAATCTTCCCCATGGTGCCCTCTCCCTGAAGCCTGGGCCTAACCTCCCCCATGGCCTTACTTGTAGGAAAGGGTGTAGCCCACATGGCTGTGGCTGACTCGGATAAGAAATGTCCCCAGGGGTTGTGACTCCAGCAGATTCTCAGCAACTCTGGAAGAGACAGAGAAAGGAGACTGGCTGGACATGGAGGCAAGCATAGGTGATGGCTTAGCAACCTGGGGTCCCATTTGGCTTGGTTATACACAGGGCACTCTTACAGTATTGCCCTTGGCAGCCTAGCTCTCTCACCTGCATGTTCTGTGCATGCGTGTGCACCCCCACCCCTCGGAGCCACGCACGTAGCAACCTTGGATGTCACATGCATCAGGCTACTTGTATATCTCTCACTTAAGAATGGGATAAGTTTCCCGACCCCTAAAAATGATCAAATTTAGTTTCTACTCAAGTGTATTCCCAGAGTGTCTAGGAGAAAGAACTGAAGGGCTGATCCTGGGCTGGCTGGCGCCGCCAAGCCTGTCAGCCTGAATTCAATCCCTAGGAGAGAGAACCTATTTTCACAAATTGTCCTCTGACCTCCACACATATAGTAAAGAAATAAAATATAATGAAAATGTAAATATCTTGTTACAAAGAAAGAAAAATTCTGACCCAGCCTCAACGGGTCTAGTGTGCATGTACGTTCAGGCAAATGGGCTTTTGGGGAGAGTCCTTCGTTTCCCGTCTTACACCTGTGTATAATTGGGCATGCACGTGAGTAGGATCAGATTTATTACAGGAAAGGCATGTCCGTGAGCAAAGACTTACATAAGCCACCCTGTGAATCAACCACAACCATACAGTACACTCCCTCAGCAACCAAACTCCTCTTGGAGCACACACCTTTGGTCCCAGTACTCAGGAGGCAGAAGCAGAGGCCAGCCTGTTTCAAGGACAGCGAGGGCAGGCGAATGTGCTATGATACATTCAGAAGTAAAGGACAATCCACAGAGGTGTTTTTCTCCTTTTGCCTTGTGGGTTCCAGGAATTGAATTTGCATTATCAAGTTTGGCTACAAGCACCTTTACCATCTTGCTGGCCCTTGCTGTCAATCTTGACAATGTAACCCTCTCTAACCTGCACTATTGCTTTGCTTCTAATTAGACAATTCTGCAAATTCATGTGAGCCCTTAGCATAAGAAGCCAAGAACCCGGGAGCACTTGACCCTGACCTAGGAACACCAGGGCAGGCCCTGGATCTTGTGGGCCCACACTTTCAGGTTGCCTTTGTTTCCTTTTGGGGTGAAACGTCTGAAGTAGCTCAGGCTAGCCTCATTCACACTATGAAGCTGAGGACGGCCTTGAATTCCTGATCCTCTACTTTCTGCCTCCTGAGTACTGGGATGACATTACGCTTGCTTTGTGCAGAGTGGGAACAGAACTAAGGGCTTTATGTGAGCCAGGCGAGCACTCTATCAATAGCTATAGCCATAGCCTATGAATGAGCAAATAACACTCTTAGGTGGGACACAGTATCCAAGTGAAAAAGCAGGGGCTATGGTCTGTCTGGTACTGAGTCTAGAGCCCAGCTGTGCTATGCATCTGCTGTGTAACCTCAGGCAGTTGTCTAACCTTACCTGCTCCTCAGCTTCCCAGGGCCCTGAGCTAATCTGAGAATGGTGTGAATGGGGGGTGTGGGGCTTGCTGCCTGAGTGTGCTCCCAAATGTTCACTGTGGTTAGCAGAGACCAACCAGGAAGCAGGATATGGCAGGATGGGGGGTTACCATTATGTCCTTACTCTCGAGAGATGGTGCCATGGAACCACTCCGGGATCCCATATTGGGCCAGCTGGTCCACCTGGGTGTGCACAAACCAGTCCAGCCGAGGGGGCAGTGGCAGGGGCGGCCTCCAGGCTTCTGCCATGGCATCCAGGGAAGGGGATCACCTGTGGGGAAGAGGAGAGGGGGGTGTCTCTTGGCTCTAATATTCCACACCGTGGTGCCTCTTTTCCTGGGAGCCTCCCTGGTGGTCAGAGCAAGGGCAGTCCTGTGAACACACAATTGCTTGCTGGTGACTATTGTGTCACAGGCTGTTGTGTACCTTGTGAGTGAGTATGAAGGAGGGGTCAGGTGTCTTCCTCTATTGCTCTACACCACGGTTTTGTTTGGATTTACTTTATTGTGTGTGTGTTCATGGGCCACAGTACACATGTAGGTAAGTCTGGACGACTTATAGGAGTCAGTTGTCTCCTTCTACCGAGTGGTTCCCTGACTGAAACTTAGGTCATCAGGCCTGGCAGCGAGCGTCCTTGGGTGCTGAGCCATCCTCAGCCAAACCAACACTTGTTATTGTTGTTCTGTTTTTAGACAGGGTTCTGCTTTTAGACAGGGTCTTTTTACATAGCCCTGGCTGTGCTAGAACTTACTATGTAGACCAGGCTGAGATGGAGATCCACCTGCTTCTGCTTTCTAATTAAAGCGACATTTTTTTGTTTGTTTTGTTTTTCAAGATAGCTCTGGCTGTTATGGAACTCGCTTTGTAGACCAGGCTCTTCCCTAACTCACAGAGATCTTTCTGCTTCTGCCTCCCCAGTGCTGGGATTAAAGGTGTTCTCCCCGAAAACTGCCACATTTTTAAAAGTTTTTTTTTTTTTTATTTGTGTGTGTGTGTGTGCGCGCGCGCGCGAGCACACACACACACACGTACAAACAGGTGCTTTTGGAGGCCAGAAGAGGGCACTAGATCTCCTGGAGCTGTAGTTATGGGTGGTTGTGAGCTGCTCCCTATGGGTACGGGGAACTAAATTGGGATTCTCTAGAAAGAGCAGCGAATGGTTGAGACATCTCTTCATACCTCACCTTCTATTCTGTCACTAAACCTGGGGCTGGTCACAGAATTCCAGGGGTCCTCATATATGGCCCCCCTACCTCAAGCCGAGCCTTTGTTTTGCTCTGTTGTTTCCATGCCTGCTGAACGGCAAATTGGAACTCAGGCCTTCATGCTCACACAGGAAGCTTTTTAAAAAATATTTTATTTATTAATTGCTTCCATGTATATCTGCACACCAGAAGATGGCACCAGATCACATAAAAGATGGTTGTGAGCCACCATGTGGTTACTGGGAATTGAACTCAGGACCTCTGGAAGAACAGTCAGTGCTCTTAACCTCTGAGCCATCTGTCCAGCCCCCGCAGAAAGCTTTTTTACGGGCTAAGCAAGACCTTGGTTTGGTTTATGAGACAGGTTAGCCCAACACTCACCACGTAGCCAAGGATGGCCTTGAACCCCCAACCCTCCTGTCTCTACCTTCTTAGGTGACAGCTCCTCCTGTGTGCTGTTAATTCACGCTCTTGGTTGATTTACACTCAGGGTACCGCAGGGCTTTGTGAGCTGGTGACTTAGGGACACAGTCCTGAAATGGAAAACAGTATTAAGCTGAAGGAAAATCAGCAAAAAGCACACCCAGGCCCTCAATCACTCTTCACTCAGTTCCTAGACTTGAGTGGTCTGATCCCACAGGGAGGGGCTGTTGACACAGGGTGGCTGTGCTGACTTTCTTCCCGGAGAACAAACACATTCCCTCAGGTGTGGCCCAAAGGCACTCAGAGGAAAGTCATTAACCGAATCCATTAATGAACCCTTGATAACCAAGTACAGTCTCTGTCCCCATTTCCTGTTCCCTCTCTCTCAGTGGGGCTTCCATGGAGGTGAACAGTCTCTTCCAGGCTCCCCTGGATGAGGCCTGGGATCACAGCATCTGGAATTAGAGGCAGATTATCTGGGTTCAAATTCTACCTTACAGAGCTGCTGTGTGGAGTCACAAACTCTGTTAAGTGACATTTTTGGAAGGGGACGGCTGGGACAGAGTACTATACCATCAATACATTACACATATAGATTGCTTACACTTCGATGTGAATGAAAAGAGGGATGAGAGGAAAAGAGCTGTCTAGCCCACGCTGGCTTTAGTGCACCTGAGGATAACCCTCAACTCCTGATTCCCACCCCCCCACCAAGTGCTGGGATTTCTGGCCTGCTCTACCAAGCCCAGTTTACACTGTGTTGGACCCCAGGCTATTGCCACATACCTGTAATCCCAGCACTTGGCAGGCTAAGGCTGGATTGCCATGAGCTCAGACCTACCTAGGGCTACACTAGGATACCCCGAATTAAAAACAAAAGGTCACATGTAGTGATGTACGTCTGCCATCTCAGTACTTACACAGTGGAGACAAAAGGCCACCTTGAAAATAATAATAGTGGAGCTAAAATTCTTCTATTACTTGGCTTTTATTTATTGTATTGCTTATTTTAAAGGTTTTTTTGTTTTGTTTTTCGAGACAGAGTTTCTCTGTATTGCTTTGGAGTCTGTCCTGGAACTTGCTTTGTAGGCCAGGCTGGCTTCAAACTCATAGAGATCCACCTGCCTCTGCCTCCCGAGTGCTGGGATTATAGGTGTGTGCCACTAACCCCCGGCTTTTGCTTTTTTAAGTTTTTTATTTTTATTTATGTGTATGTGTGTCTGTGTACAAATGTGTATTAGCCATGTGTGGTCAGGTACCACTGGAGGCCAGAAGGTGGCGCTGGATCCCTGGAAATGGATTTACAGGTGGTTGTGAGCCTCCCATTACAGGTGCTGGGAACTGAACTGGGATCCTCTGCAGGAGCACTGTGCACTCTTAACTGCTGACCCCTCTCCAGTCTCACTCTGATATTTAAAAATTTTAGTGTGGGGGGCTCAAGAGATGGCTCAGAGGTTAAGAGCCCTGACTACTCTTCCAGAGGTCCTGAGTTCAAGTTCCATCAACCACATGGTGGCTCACAACCATCTGCAATGAGATCTGGTGCCCTCTTCTGGCCTGCAGGCATACATACATACAGAACACTGTATGCATAATAAATAAATATATCTTAAAAATTTTTTTTAGTGTGTCTGGGCGGGTACTCATGTGTACGGTGTGTGTACGCCTGAAGTTGACATCAAGTGTTTTCTTCTTTCACTCCCCCTTTATGTATTGGAGTCTCGGAATGAGCAGGAGAGTCTGACTAGCCAGCTGCCCTGGATATCTCCTGCCTCCACCTCCCACATGCCAGGAAGACAGGTGGCCATCACCTGCCAGACTTTAGGTGGGTTCTGGGGATCTGAACTCAGGTCCTCATGACCCTCCACCATCACATCAGCCTTCCCTTTTGACTTCCCTTTTCTTATTACTCACCATGCTTCACAGAACCTGCCTCGGGGGTCCGCCTCTCACAGAATTCATGCAGATTGCAGTCCCAATCCCCAAGGGTGCAGCAGGCAACCGTCCAGACTGTGTAAGTACATGCTGCGACAAAATCAGCTACCAACACACCTCCCAGAATGTACCCCATCATGAAGAGAGTCTACATCTGCCGCTGTGTAAAATACAGCTGAATCCAGTCACAAACTGGCACAGAATTCTTTTTATCTCAAAACACTCCTACCCATCTCTCAAGACCCAATGCGAATGTCCCTTCCTCCAGCCAGCCTTCCTTCCTTACCTGCCCACAAACCCTGGCAATGTTTCCTCCCTCCCCTTGAGTATCCCCATTGTTCCTTCCTCTGCTGGCTCCAGCTGGACCCCAAGGAGCTGGAGGGGCTTTATCCCTCTCTGACTTACTTTCATTGCTTAGGACACAGGGCTAGTGGGCCGCTGGTTTCTTTGAAACAGGTCTCACTACTAAGCTGAAGCTAGCTAGCCTCAAACTCATGATCTAGCCTGCCTCTGCCATTAGAGTGCTGGAATGACAGGTGTGAATAACCATGACAGAGCTTGCAATGGTTCCCTCCTCTGGTAAACCCTTCCCTCATCTCCCAGTCCCACCCCACCCCACCCCACCCCACCCCACCCAGTGCTGGAGCCCCAGGGATTCAGCAGCTGGGATGCTGGGATGCCAGGATTCTGGATGCAGGCTACATACCTCGGAGAGCCTGGGCTGTGCTGCTCTTGAGCTGCCGCTGGAGCCTTAGTTTCGCTTCAGGGTCTGCACGTCAGAGGGGCAGGGCGGGCAGCCCCAGGCGGTTCCTGTTTCCTCCAGCAGGTGAACCTGGGCGGGACTAAACTCACGGTTTGGTCTGTGGCTGAAGCTGATACTGGCTCCTGCTATGTCTTTGCTCACTATCTACTCACCACCAGCTCCATGGAACCCCCAAGACAGTTGCAGCCCTTCCTTCCCTTTTGAGACAGTCTCATGTGCCCTAGTTAGCCTGGAACTTGCTACGTAGCTGAGGGTGACCTTGAACTCCTGATCCTCCTGCTTCCACCTCCCGAGTGCTGGCAGGTCTCCGCCATCATGCCAAGATTATGCATTGCTGGTGATGGAGCCCAGAACTTCATGCTTGCTAGGCAAGCACTCTGCTAGCTGAAGTGTATTTCCTACCTTAATTGCAGCCTTAAAGTAGTCGGCTGTCAGGAAATGGGGGTGTGAGAGTCAAAAAGTGAAAGGGGTCACGCAGGAGACTGCTTGGTGGGTATGGGGTGCAGGAACAGTGTATAGACAGGGAACAGCACGTGCAAAGGTCCTGAGGTTGGACAGAGACATTGAAGAACAGACTCTCACTGCCCACACAGCTGCATCCTGCCTTCCTTTGCAAAAACACACTTGAAATGACATTCTACAATTGTGTTGCCCTCTAGGCCAACATAAAAGTGTGATGTGGCTCAGGTTTGTAGTCCCAGTATTCAGAAGGTTGAGGCAGGAGGACTTGGGGTTCCAGGCTAGCCTGGGCTACATAGGGAGACTCAAACTCAAAACCCAAACAAAATCAAAGCAAGACAACACCTGTTTTGTTTTGTTTGTTTTTGTAAGGTAGGGTCTCATAGCGTCCTGGCTTGCTTGGAAGCCACTATGTAGCTGAGACTGCTTCAAAACCCTGTTCTTCTTGCTTCTGCCTCTGGAGTGTTAGGATTACAGGGGTGACCATATTTTCTGTGGTATTGGGATAGGCCCCACAGCTTCATTCATGATAGGCGAGCACCCTGTCAACTGGGGCGCAGGCCCAGTCCATGCTGGACTGGTGGGGGCGGGTGGGAATGGGGCTCAGTCTCAGAGAACATGAGCTGTTTTGGCTTTGCTCTGGGGCTGCGGTCTTCTACAGGATAACATCTTCCTGTCAGCAGTCAAAGTAGAATTCCCCTACGCCCCATGTCTGTGTGGTTCACAAACGGACACAGCTCCCAAAGGAAGCTGTGGTAACCACCAAGGCGGTGCAAACAGGGTTGCCTGATGGAAGGAAGATAACAGGGACCCCGAGGTCCTGCTCCCTCTATGTCAGCTTCTTTTGTTGACCTCATAGGGTGAGTTCCAGTGGACAATCCTCAGGGGAGGTAGCTGCAGCCAAACTGCATCAGCTTGGGCCACAAACTCTGGGGACAGGGGCAGGTAGGGAAGGGTAGAGCCACCATTTTATAGTTCTCTCTGCCAAGGGCATCTGCTTCTATTTTTCCTTTGTTCATTCTTTCATTCCGTTTGTTCATTTCACAAACACTGGTTGGGCTTGACTTCTGTGCAAGTACCATACTGGGTGTCAAGGCTGAAGCAAAAGAAATGATGGCGTACCTCTCATCCCAGCACTTGGAGAGGCTGAGGCAGGAGGAAGGCAAGATCTGGGCCAGCCTGGGCCGTATCCTACCTCAAAAACGGGGGTGGGCAGCAAGAAGGCTCAGGGGGTAAATGCACTGGCTGCCAAACATTATGTCCTGAGTTTGATCCCCAAGAATCACAAAGTGATTCCCTCTACAAACTGTCCTCTGAACACATACACACAGGGAAAAAAACAAAACCAAACTTTTTTAAGTAAAAAAAAAAGTTTCTGTTACTACATTGGGCTTGAGCTGTGAGCCCAGGAACCTTAGCAGACACACTCAAAACATGGTATCACACACTGGAATATTACTCAACCATGAAAATGAGGGAAGTTCTGCCACAGGCTGTAACTTGTATAAACTAATAACTTGCTGCTGAGTATGATGGCCCTTGCCTTGAATGGTAGCCCTTGGGAAGCACAGGAAGGTAGATCTCAGTTAGTTCAAGGCCAGCCTGGTCTGCATATCAACAACAGGCCTGCTAGGGCTACACAGTGAGACCTGTGTCAACAAAACAAAACACCAGAAGTTGTTGCTGAGTAACAACACAGCACAGAAGGGTGTGTGTCATCACAATTAGCATACAGCCAGAGCAGGCAAATTAGACAGAAGCAGATGACAGGCTGCCAGGGGCAACTCACCAAGGGGGACAACAGGAAGTAGGGCCTGCTCACGAGGACTCGGTGATAAAACATGCTCTGAACTTTGCCGAGGCTATTTCAATCTATGATTGTGTTAAAAACCTGCCCAAGAACTGGAGAGACAGTTCAGTGGTTAGGAGCACTGCCCTTACTTGAGTACCAAGATTTGGTTCCCAGCACCCACAAGGTGGCTCACTTTTAATTCTGGCCCCAAGGGATTCCATGTACCTTCTGGCTTCCATGGGCACCAGGCACGAATGTGATGCACAGACATACATGCAGGCAAACACTCAAACACAGAAAAATAAAATTCGAAAGCCTTTCCAACCTCGTAATAGCCCACTGGCCTCACGCCCCTCTCCCTCCTGTTCTCTTCTCCAGGGCTGGGGAAGACCTGCTTGGCTCCCAAGCTTTTATGCTCCTTAATGCTTTTTATCTTGGATCCTTTTGAGATTGTTACCCTTCTGTCACATCGGAAGCATCTCTCTGTTTAAAGACGCATGCTATTATTATTTCCGGAAGACTCTGGGTACGAAACCTCAGTCTTGAACCCTGCTCTGTGAAACTGTTGTGGAATCCAGACTGCACATGTGCTTGGCAGGACCAGATGTGTGGAGTTCTTTCTGAGGGCCAAATAATGCCACAGGGTTATCACTTATGATGCATATAGGATGTTTTTATTTTTATGTGTATGGGTGTTTGGCCAGCAGGTGTCTCTGCACCATGCACGTGTGTGCTTAGTGTTACAGACTTAGTAGTCCTCTGGGACTGGAGTTAAGGATTGTGGTGAGTCACCAGCTGGGTTGCAGAAATAGAACCAGTGTCCCTCTGCAAGAGCAACAAGTGCACTTAACCACTGAGGCATCCCTTTAGCCCCTGTAGGATCTTAGTGTGCCTTTGTAGCCATTGCTCATCTCTTCTCTCTAGCCCCCGCCCCACCTTCCTGACTCTTCCTACTGACTGTGAGTGGGGGAGCTGGGATCTCTCCATGGCACACATGGTAAGGCTCAGAACAGAGTCAGCAGGGTTTGGTGAAGATCGTCTGTCATCCCAGCACCCAGGGGGCTGCAACAGGAGGACTGCTGTGAGTTCTAGAGCAGCCTGGACTTCATAATCATCCTCAGTCAAAAACCACAAAAAGTAAATCCAAAGGAACCCTTATCTGGGTGGCTCAGGGTGGTGCTAGCCATCTGCATACACACTAAGGTCTGTGCTAAGCACATGCTCACTGGGAGGAGGCAGTCCTCCTGACACCATGTGGGCGTCTCCATGGAAACCAGGATGCAGACACTAACCAACTTCCAATGGCAGACCACTCCTTCACATGCTGGCAGTCTGTTCATGTGGGGTGAAGCATGTGGTATTTGATTGCTGTGGTGGAGGGTTCTGGAAGTTTCTGCGGACTGTCTCCTGTGCTCACCCTATTAACTCCCCTCAACTCCTGACAGTTTCTCTGTAGCCTTGGCTGTCCTGGAACTCACTCTGTAGACCAGCCTGGCCTCAACTCAAGAGATCCTCCCACCCTGCTGGGATTAATGGCCTGCTCCACTAAGTCTGGCTTCATTAGCTGGCTTTTTTTTTTTAACAGTGAATCACCTTAGCTGACAGTGTGTGCTATAGTTTGGCTAGAGCTTCTGGCTAGAAAGGCTGTGTGCTGGAAGTTTGGCTCTGTGAAGGTAAGAGGTGGTGAACTTTTAAGAGGGAAGGTCTTTGAGGAGTGTGGAGTGCCTCCCAGGTAGCAAGCAGGCAGTGAGAGCCAGAGAGGAGGATGTCTGTAGCCAAACAGTATTTGCCCGACAAGACAGGGTTGCAAGTAACTCACAGCTGCCGTGACTGCACTCACAAGGCTGGCCCAGGCCACATGGACAGGGAGGGGCTTGTGAAGTCTCACCCCTAGCTGAGGAGAGCTGCAAGTGCTCAGCTGTCGGGCCATCTCTCCAGGCCCTGGGCCACTTGTACTAAATGTCATCCATTGAACCTGCCACCAAAAAGCAACCTGGTGGGTGCTGGGTGTGCAGAACTGCTTCTTTTCAAATGCACTTAAATCCGTTTTCCAATGCATCGGTCAGTGTAAGCAGGAAACGTTAGAGACTCCAGGGGAAGGTGACTATTGCTGGTACGTTGGTTTTAATTTCAAAAAAAGGGAGATTTTGATGCTGACAGCTTGGACTGACAGCAGCATGGGGAAGGGTTAGAGTGAAAAGGAAGGGGCTCCCAGGCAACACCCCTCCCGCCAGGACGTCTGGTCCCAATCAGTCTCTCCGGGAGGACAGAGCTGTCAAAACACAATTGGGTAAAGACAGAGACAACCCACCAGACTGTAGGGCAGCACTGTGCCGTGGAATGCCTGTCTGGGTCTCAGGGACCAGGTGCCCCTGTGTGGCCAGGGCAGTCACGCTGGTTCCTGATCACCTGGGTATGCTGCTAGAAAATCAAAGACGGAATCATTTCATGGTGTTAGGAATCTGGAAAAATAAAAAATCATCTCAGCTAGAAAAGGAACGTCCGATTGGAGCCAGCCAGAGGATGAGAAGAGCGGGGAGGCGGTTTTGGTGCCATTGAGGCAGGTGGCCCAGTGACAGTGGTTGTGGGTGAGTGGTGGTGATGGCGGAGTCACCTGCTGTGGGTAGTGTCCCCTCAGTGCTGGACCACAGACTCCCATCCTGCAGTGGCCATGAGAGCCGTCCACTTCTTCCAAAATCCTCTACATGGATTTTCCTTAGTTTGTGCTTCCCTTTGGTTTGACATGTAAGGAGACAGGGGACATGGTTCTTTGCCACTTGTCCAAAACTGAGAACAGATGAAGGCAGGTGTCAGGCTTGGCCTGCAGTGGCTCTTGTGGCGGTGCTCGGGGTATGGGGCCAGGCAGGTTGGGCACCGCTGCTGGCCTCACTTCTATGGTAGAGGGGCAGGGACAGAAGGCTGGGAATGGTGGCTACAATGCTCCCACCCCACCTCTCTCCATCGATGGCAATATGACAAGGGATGGACAGGCCTGACTGGCAGATGACACAGGAAAAACAGCAAAATTCTAACTCGTTCCATCTCTGAAGGTGGAAAAGATCAGAAGGTTACTAAAATAATCAATTTCTCAATTGTGTCCGGGCGGCTGTATCCGAGCAGTGGAGGTGGAGGCTCGCCCGGGGCAGGCACAGTCAGCTGGGCTGAGCCAGGCTCAGGATGGCGGTGACCTTGTCCTCACAGGAGGCTGCACCGGAAGAAGCTGGTCCTCTTCTGCTGCTCCACTGTGATCTTGACCCCGTGGCTGCTTCCCTGTGGGCTGTTCCCTTCCTGAAGTCACAAGTGTGCCTTGTTACTTACTGTGGACTGTTAGCACCACTTGCTACCCACATACAGCTGTCATCCAGTCTGTCTGCCCACCACTGTCCAACTAACCACCCCGCATCCACCACTCCAGAGCCAATCACCCACTAGCTATCCATCTGTCCATCCTTGCCATCCAGCTATTTATTCCCTAGTAACCACTCAAGTACCCACCCATCAACCATTGATCCATCCATAAAAACTCTCGTCTCAATAACTAAGCAAATAAATAAATAGGGGCTGGAGAGATGGCTCAGTGGTTAAGAACACTGGCTGCTCTTTCAGAGGCCCTGGGTTCAATTCCAGCACCTACATTGAAGCTCATAATTGCCTGTGACTTCAGATCCAGGAGAGCTCATGCCCTCTTCTGGTCTCTGAGGTCACTAGACGTATACATCGTGTTCAGACATAGTGCATAGACATTCATGCAGGCAAAACACCAAACACATAGGAAATAAATAAAATCATAAAACAACAAAACAATTCAGCTTGGTGGTGCTTCTAATCCCAGTATCAGGGCGGGGAGACAGGAGGGTCCTGAAGCTCACCGTCTAGCTAGACCAACCTAACCATCTGGCTCAAGGTTCAGTGAGAGACGCTGTCTCAAAATGTAAGGTAGGAATTGAATGAAGAAGATACCTGACAACCTGACATTGACTTCTGGCTGACATTGACACATACATGCATATGTGCACACACGCACATGCACGCACGCAGCATACACACGGTAGGATGGTAGACCTGGGCAGTGATGTGCTGCCCTAGGCAACGATAGCTGTATCCTACAGAACCCCACATGGAGACCTAGGAAGGATCCAGACTCACCAATTTTTTGTCCATTTTTGCTTTGATATCCCTGGCGAGAGTGAAAAACGCCTGTGGGAAGAGCAGGCTGTCAGAGCCCTCTAGTGGTGGGATGTGATTGGCAGAGGTGAGGGAGGGTTCCAGCTAGCACTTCCTCCTGTCTCCAACTAGGCCCCCATCTGTCACCCTCTGTAGAGCACTATGGGGACAGAGGCCTGCTGTGTGCCCACCTCCTGTCAGTTGGCCCTCGACACAGAGGCTCACAGGAGATCATGAGATTTGCTCAAAGGTCCCAGTGGTTAACTGGTTCAGAAGGGTCTGGAGGACCTGTGTCTACACATGCCAATGCCCTCCCTCTTATTTATTTTAGAGACATTCTCTCCAGCCCAGGTTGGCTTCAAATTCCTGTTTCTCCTGCCTCCACCTCCTGAGTAAGAGGTGACAGGTGTCACCAAGCCTGGCTACTCCTCTCTTGAACATCTACACAAGTCAGTCTGCTTGCCCACTGGCCCGTAGAGAGAGCATGCAGGTGGGGTTTAGCATCTCCGGCAGTGTTGGCAACTTGGGAAGTGGTGCCAGGGGAGAAGGCATGGAGGTGTTGCCCTTAGGTGGTAGGCTTGGACAGGAAAAGAAGAATCTGATGGCAGGAAAAGGGAAGGGATGCAGCAAAGGCTGGGAAAGGGGGACCCATCCAGGTGGCTTATGGGAGAAGTGGGAGTGAAGGTGAACAAGGTCCACTGTCCTCTGGGTACCTTGTGGGGTGATATGGATGATTTTGTTTTCTTATACAGTCTTGCTGTGTAGCCAAGGCTGGCCCCGGTAATCCTCGTAGCTCAGCCTCCTGAGAGCTGGGACTACAGGTAGATCTACAGGTCTGTTTTTGAATATCATTAGGGTTATGTGAAGTTGAGGGCCAGGAGCCAAGCTGGCACTGCCTTGGAGACAGCATGAGGACCAGGGAGCAGCACTGAGACCTGGCTCCCTATTGGGGCTGTGAATTAGCAGTGTGGCTGAGACAAATGCAGCTGGGCCTAAGACCGGGCTGGCTGGAATGGAGCATCACTCTCCCTTCATCTGTTGAGAGCCAGTGACATGTGTCCAGAGTGCCCAGCAGAGGGCGCTGCAGAGGCCCCATCAGCAGCACTGGGCTGGGGCCGCTGAGCCAGAGGCCAGTCCCTCTGTATCCTCCAGGCTGAACCTCCCAAAGAAAGGCCCCTAAAGCCCCACAGCACTGATCCCACAAGCCCGTGTCTCCCAGAAGCCTGGGACTCACATTCTCCACATTGATGTTGGCCTTCGCACTGGTCTCCATGAACTTGATCCCATAGTCAAGTGCCAGCTGTAACAGGGGACACATTAACAGTGAACACCTAGTGTCCCTCAGGAATGAAGCTGGGGCAGGGCTGACACAAAGCTCAAGTGGTGATAGGTCTGGACAGGCTAAGGGTGTCACCTTCACTGTGTGATGGTGCTGCACCAAGCAGGGAGGGAAAAGCAGAGGAGGAAGGGAGAGGTGGCATGCCTCAGCTCTGATCCGTGCTGTGGCGCTGTGTGCCTGGCCTTGGTGGGTTCTGGTGACAGAACTGGAGCTCACTGCCAAGTTCTCGTTGTGAGGCATGAGCAGGCTCTCTCCTCCATCCCAAGCAAGCCAGGATGGCATGTCATCCTCTGCTCAAAAGACTAGAAGGGGCACGTGGGTCCCCTGGGGTGGGACTGGCTCTGGCACCCACCTTTTCTCCCCGCTCCTTGGATACTTGTCTCTTGTCATTCACATCACACTTATTCCCCAGTATCATCTTCTCCACATCTGCAGAGGCATGCTGAGGAGAACGGATGATCAGGGTTACAGCGGCCGTGTGGGGACTACTCAGGGGCTGATAGCCCACGCCCCACTGTTGAACCCTTAACTGCAAACAGCTTCCATGGGCCATGGTCACCAGGCTCCAGGGCCAGGGCTCCCAGAATGGATGCTGAGAGACCTTACCCAAGCCCTCCCGACTGTTCTGTGTTAGTTTGTGTGTGTGCACTTGCATGCACACACCATGGCACACAGAGGACTATGTGGAGTCAGCTGTCTCCTTCCGTGGGTTCTGGGACTTGAACTCAGGACGTCAGGCTTGGTGGCAAGTGCCTTTACCCACTGAGCAAACTGCCAGCTGAAGCCTCAATGCCTGCTGGGACCTTTTTATTCTCTCCTTTCTCTAGGTTCTGGAAACAAGGCTGTGCCTAGAACAGCAAAACTTCAAGCTAAGTTCTTGATGAGCACTAAGGCTCCCTCCTAGAAATGGTTCCCTTGTCAGTCCCTCCAGTGGCTCCCCTGCAGAAGGGACATCAGCTCTGCTGTCAGGGAACACTTCTCCACTCTCTGCCATACCTATCTACCAGAGGACTACTCAGGGTGTCCCAAGCCAAATTCAGGACTCCTCTTTTGACCAAGATGGCATCTATAGCCAGAGCAAGCCCAAAGCAACTGCTCATAAACAAAGGGCCTGCCTCTTAGCCAGGCCTGGATCTACAGGGACATGTGTTCCTCTGTGGCTTTAGAGACGGGTGACGTTCTTGACATCCTAGACCCAATGTCTCACCTACTTAGTCATCAGGGCCACAGGTGGAGCTGGCCAGCAAGGGTAAGGGGTGTGGCAGCTGGTCAGAGGACAAAGTTAGCTTTGGGAGGGGAGGCTGGGCTGGCTGCCTTCTTGTCTCTTCACAGTTTAGGGTCTCTTTCTATGACCAGCTGTTGACCTGAGTATGGACTTGGACAGGCTCACACTCTGTTGAGGCTGCAGCTCAAAATGTTTCTAACACACCATCCAAATTACAAGTGTCTGTTGCTCTAGAACCTTCTCTCTCTTTCTCTCTCTCTAAAGAGCCAAATGCTCATGTGACCCCAAACAGAGATGACCTTAAGATCAGCCAAACACTACTGTGTGGGGCCTGGGCCAAGGGCGAGTTTGGGCAGATGGCAGGCATTTTGGTCCCATTCCCCACTCCCTGCCTGTATGCCATGTGCCTGACTTTGAGGAGAAGAAGCAAAAAAGTGCCCTCACCTCTTCAATGTTCCGAATCCAATTCCGGATGTTGTCGAAGGATTTCTCATTGGTGATGTCGTAGACCAGCATGATACCCTGGGTGAGGAAAGAGAGACTTGGGCTTTGAAGGGCCCCATGAGGTAGGCAGTGTACCCATCAGGAGTAGGTATGGCCACTGCCAGAGATGACCACTGTCTCAGCCCAGCCTGTCAGCTTCCCCACCTCCATGGTGACTTTTCTGACTCCCAAGCTAGACCTTGACACACACCCTCTGTTACCAGCCTTGCTGGCCCCCTATGCCAGCAGATGTGGACCTGAACTCCCCAGTGGCATCCAGATTCAGCTGGTGCCTCTTTGGATACCTGACATCATACTTACTATGTGCCAGGCTTACTTACAGCAGGCAGGAACCTGAGGCTGGGGTATGCACTCAGGCCCTACCCTTGGCAGTCTAGTCAGATCCCTAATGGATGTGAGGGATGCCTGACAAGGTGCACAGGTCCCAAGAGATCCAGGAGGCAACCTCAGCCAGCCTGAGCATACTGCCTCATTGCTGCTGTAGAGAAACCGAGGCATAGGGAGATGAGATCTTTTTGATTAATACTGAAGTCCAGGACACCTGAGTGCTGGTTCACACCTAAAATCCTAACACTCAGGAGGCTGAGGCATGTATGGTAAGACCACCTGGCCCTCCAACCCCCTAAGCTGCAGAGGATGCTGAGACAGAGAGCAGCTGTCCTCTGATAGTCTGGTACCGTCCTGGTACCTACAATGGCCCATCTTCTACCCCACTATCACAAGGCCCACATAGGACCAAACACTCTGGGTTTTAAGGTCCATAGTTGGTTCCAGCCCAGGCCCTACTTGCTCCTCTCCTCAGGCATTGGCTACTGGGTACAGTCCTGTGTAGAACACAGAATCCCACTTCTTTCCCCCCCACCCCTTTGGGTTTTCTGTGGCAGGGTTTCTCTGTGGCTTTAGAGGCTGTCCTGGAACTAGCTCTTGTAGACCAGGCTGGTCTCGAATTCACAGAGATCCACCTGCCTCTGCCTCCCGAGTGCTGGGATTAAAGGCGTGAGCCACCACCACCTGGCGCAGAATCCCACTTCCAAGGCTACCCACATTTGCCAAGAAAGAGGAGGAATCAGCAGGATGTGTGATGGCCTGGGTTCCATTCCCAGCACTGAAATGATAATAAACACAAAGTAACATGAGCTGCTATTGCTTGTAATTCAGCACTCAGGAAACAGAACAGAGGCATACTACAAGTCTGAGGTACAGAGATGCTGCCAAGAGAAAAATTGGCCCAGGGATGGTGGTGCATGCCTTTCAAACCAATACTCAGGATCTAGGAGGGTCAAGTGGATCTCTGTGAGTTCAAAGCCAAGCTAGTCTACATAGTGAGTTCCAGACCAGCCAGGCTATACAGTGACACCCTGTCTAGAACAACAAAACAAGGAACTGGGCTGGGAGTGAGGCAGGCAGATCTTTGTAAGTTCAAGGCCAGCCTGGTCTACAGAGTGAGTGCCAGGATAGGATAGGCTCCAAAGCTACACAGAGAAACCTTGTCTCTTAAAACCAAAACCAACAAACAAACAAACAAACAAACAAACAAAAAAAACCAACACTGAAGGAGACTGTTCACACCTGTACTCAGGGCACAGCCATGATCCAAGGAGATACCAGATTAAGATCAAGGGTGCTCTGTGTGTGGGGGGGGGAGGGGGTGGGGGAAGACGGGATGGGTTCGGGACACACTCAGGGGGGCAGGGAGGGGCTCAGGGTGACTAACTCAGCCCCCAGTGCTCTCAAGGGGCAACAGGATTAATTTAAACAAGGGTGCTAGGGTTTCAGGCCATAGGATTGAGTTTCCAATGTTGGCTGCACTTCCTGGAAGCTCTAAATACTTAATTTAATGTCATCATTCATGCCTTTTGCTCCCAGGCTCCTCAGGTGTCCCCATGAGTTCTCAGGCATCAGGCCTGCACAGGGATGAGATACATACTGTCCTCACGCTGTGGACAGCTGCTGGGAGGAACTGGGGCCTATGGCTCTAAATGACAGGTTGAACTACAAAAGTCACAGGGTGATAGGGAGAATGGGACTCTGAGAAGGTGGTCATTTGTTTTCATAGCAGCCCGGGGGCATGTTCCACTTTCTCAGAGAAGAGACAAAGCTGCGAGTGTGACCCAGAGTTCTGATCAGGGCTGGGGTTGCTCCTCCTGCCCCCTTTGTCCCTCAATGCCCTGTTTTACATAGTCTCACACAAGCAGGACCAGGTCAGGGTGGGACTCCGTCCTTTCTCACTGCCTCTCATCTCCATGGGGGAAATACATGGGGGTGAGTTTGTTGACATGTCATTGTAGGGAGCCGTTCCTGCATCCTCCATTACAATGATGGTGCCTGCAGACACCAACATGTAAATTACTTCACAGGCGCTGGGTAATTTCCATTCCTTTGATCTCTGCCTATCCCGTGGCTCATTTGGCCTGAGGAGCTGAAGCCATTCATAGGGTAACACGTCCCAGGCGGCTGCTTGCCAGCCTTTATTAAGGAATGGGATTCTTGGTTCAGGGTCTCCGCTCTGGTCAGCTTATGCTCTCCCCTCTCAAGATGCATTAAAGCTTTTCTGCAGAAGGATCCGAGTGTCCTGCGTGTATTTCTTGCCGGCGAGAACATACAGCGCGCGGGACATGTCATCTGGCTACAGGCCCAGGTGGAGAAGATGGGACAACGATAATCCCAATTAAATCCAGCCTTCAAGTTCTTGTGTCCCATGTGGCCTTTCTCAGTATGGAGAGGCCAGCCCAGGGTTTGTCCTCCCTTGAAGGATGGGCTTCCTGGTGCTCCTTCATCCTTCAACAAAAGATATTCTCACCATTTAAGCCTTGTGCTGGGTCTGAGGCCTGGGAGTGTGTGGTGTATGTGAAGATGTTGCAGGGATCTGGTCAGGGCACAATGACCTCTCTAAAGCCAGTTCGAGTCCTGAGTTGCCTGAGGAGTTGGAACACAGGCAACAAACACAAGCCTTGGCCAGGTGTGGTGGCATACACCTATGATATCCTAGCCTAGAACTGTGAGTTTCAGGATAGCCTGGGCTACACAGTGAATTCTAGGCTAGCTTGGGCTGCACAGAAAGTCTTGTCTAAAAAGCAAACCAAAAAGGAGGCTGAGGAGATAGCTCAAGTCCAAGTGCTTACCACATGAGCCTGAGTTTGATCCCTAAAACCCATGTCATGCTGCTTTGCACTGCAATCCCTGGGCTGGGGAGGCGGAGACAGGCTGATCCCTGGGGCTCCTTGCCAGCTAGCCTGGTTTATCCGGCAAGTTCCAAGCCAGAAGCACTCAAGGAATGATGCTGGAGGCTGACCTGATCTCTGACCTCCACACTCATGTACACACATGCATGTGCACCCACATGCGCGCGCGCATGCGCGCGTGCACACACACACACACACACACACACACACACACACACACGCGCGCACGCATGCACACACTCACACACACTCTTTTAGAACACATAAAACAAGCAGGGTGCAGTGTTATATACCTACCATCCCAGCACTTGGTAAGTTAAGGCAGGAGGACTTTGATCCCAGGCCAGCCCAGGCTACCTTTGGGACTATTTCAACAAGAAAAAACAAAACAAAAGCCAATCACACAGGCCTTCTTACTGCTACCTACTGACGCTTGTTTCCACTTCAAAAGCAACAAAAAACAGTAACAAAATCAGTACCATGGCACCCCTGTAGTAGGCTGTCGTGATCGTCCGAAACCGCTCCTGGCCTGCTGTGTCCCTAGAAAGAATGAAGAATATTAGTGGTATCTATGGCCTGCTGGATCTCTCCCTTGATTCCCTCCTGCTCAGGAAGCAGGACTGTTCCTATGACACAGAAGAGGACTGTGGAGTGACAGGCTAAGGCCTTCCAAGTCCCCTGACACAAATGTTCCATTGGATTGTGTCCCCTCTGCCCCTTCCATGTCTTAGCTTCCAAGTATTGTCCTGGGGTCCCTGCAGTTGATGCTGAGGCTGTCAGGAAGAGCAAGGTGAGTTCAGGGGCTGCAGTACATTCTGTCACCCCCTTCATGAAGGAGGTGCCCGAGTTGGTGAGACCATGCCTGGACCAGCACTGGGGACATGGGGTGTGTGATGTATGGGTTACAAATAGGTGCCTTACATAGTTACATGTCTGCCTGTTATCCTGGCACTGGGGAGGACTAGCAGGAGGGCTGTGAATTCCAGGCCAGCCTGGGGTACACAGTGAGACCCTGTTAGAGAATAAAAAAGGGACAGGGTGTGCCTGGTGGTACAGTGTTTGCCTAATACATACAAGGTCTGAGAGGAAAAGTGATCTGGTCAGGGACATGGCTTTTTGTCCCTGAGCTCAGGTTCTTCCTGAGGGCTCTGGCCATCTGTATTATACAAAAATGTCTAGTGCTGAGTCGAGTTCTACCTCTTGCCTTTAATGTTTTCTTTCTTTCTTTCTCCTTCCTTCCTTCCTTCCTCTCTCTCTTATTCTTATTATTGTTTTCCTTTAATGTTTTCTTATTTGTTTGTGAATGCCACGGACAAGTATAGAGTAACTTGCAGGAGTCGGTTCTCTCCTGCAGTGTGGGTCCTGGGGATTGAACTCTGGTCATCAGACTTGGCAGAAAGCACCTTTACCTGCTGAGCCATCTTGCTGGCCCCTTGGCTTTGACTCTTACATTATCATGGCACAGGGGATGGAAGTCAGTGCCCCGTGTGTGCTCTGTCACTGAGTCTGAAAGCTCTCATTTAATATTATTTTTAGTTCTGAGATGACTTGCTGGTGGTACCTGCAGGGGACATACATGGTGAAGAATGTCAATTACAGCCCAGGTCAGCTTTCCAGTGACTCTCCCCTTGCCTGGGAATGCTGAGGGGTGCGGTGGAATGGGAGGAGCGAGGGCAGGTGGCCTGGCTTACTGGGACTGTGTCACTTTGGACTTGGGCACAAAGGCTGCCCCATGGCCAACCAATTGGAAGTGAAGAGCTTCTATGGTTTGGCTTACCATGTGGCCATGACTGATGACCAAGCTCTGAGGACAGGCAAGGATTCTCCCTTATCCAGGTTCAAGGTCTGAAGTCAGACTGTGGGGTGCTGACTGGCTAGGGACAAGGGACCCAGGAAGCTCCCCGAGAGATATTGGCAAGCTGGGTGATGGCTATGCTGAGATTAAAGAGAACGGACCATGCCACGGGGGAGGGGCACCTGGGCTCTCTGTTCCCACCCAGGGGTGCCTGGCTGGTTTTGACACAGGTTCTCACTGTGCAGTACAAACTGGCCGAGAACTTGCTGTGACCCTCCTGTCCACCCCATAAGGGTTGGGATGACAGATGTATGCCACAAGTCCCACTGAAGCATGCTCTTTGGGTCTGTTTGCCCAAGGCTAGCTGGATGCAGCCTCCCAGGATGTTGGGCTACCCCAAGTCCACACCAGTGATGGGGACCTAGATGCTCACACTTCTCTGACTGACTTTGGTGGTGAAGCCATGCTCAGGGCTGAGGAGTGTGGATACTTATGGCCTCTGGGCCTGGCCTTAGCTTCACAGTTGTTTGTGAGTTTCAGGTCCACACACCAGGAAGTGAGGCCTGGGTTCTGTCCGCAGGGGAGAAAACAGGAAGTGGTATGAGGCCTTTAAATTTTGGGCTAAAGCCGTGGGCTCGGAAGGAAACTCCCAGCTGGGTGCGGTGGCATACATTTGTCATCCCAGGACCTGGGAACCCCAGGCTAAAGACTGAAGTTCCAGGCCAGCTTGGACTACATGGTGGGACTCTCTCACAACAAAAGAGAAAGAGGAAATTCAAAGTCCAGGTGTCTTGTGCTACCATCTCTGCCTACTCCCCAAGACCCTTAGGAGATCAGAGCCACCAGACTGAGCTAGTGATGGGAGCTGTGGCTTATGGCCTATCTTCTGAGCCCTGGGCCTTTAGGATTCTCTCCATTCCCATTTGATAGCTTCTGGAAGTATTTTTCCGGACTCTGCTGTTTCTGCTAGCTTCTGGCATGGAGGACTCCTTCCAGGTTCAACATAATCCTTGCGCACCCTGGGACACTGAACTCACTGGACAGGTAGCTCTTCCCCCACAGGTTATGTCCATTAACACAACCATTAGGCTCCAATGGCCAGCAGAGCATGGCTGCCTGGGCTGGGTATGAAACTCCGGAACCTTCTGAGGAAAAGAACCGTGTGCCAGGGCCTGGTACCAAGGAATTATGCTCAATTAGTAGTGTTTGCCTAGCATGCACGGGGCTCTGGGTTCGCCGCCATCAGTGCAAAAACCAGTAGCTGTGACATATACCAGTCATGTGACACACCAGTAATGTGACACGCACCAGTCATCTCAGCACTTGGAAAGAGAGGCAGGAGGATCAAGAATTCAGAGTCATCTTTGGAGCTCAATGTGTAGGTGGCGCACCCCTTTAATCCCAGCACTCAGGTGGCAGAGGCAAGCAGATCTCTGAGTTTGAGGCCAGCCCAATCTACATACATAGTGAGTTCTAGGACAGCCAGGGCTGAACAGAGAGACTCAGCCTCAAATACATACATACATACATACATACATACATACATACATACATACATACATACATACACACACACACACACACACAAGTAAAATACAGTATGTGTGGGAGGGGGCACCAACAGCTCTGCTCCAAGTTTGGAACAGCACTCACCATATCTGCAGTTTAATCCTCTTGCCATCAAGCTCTATGGTCCTAATTTTAAAGTCAATTCCTGAAAGGAAGAATAAAAGGTGTTATTAAGCACGTCCCAAGCTGCCAGCCTAGGCTGGTGACAGAGGCTGTGGCTTGTGGAGCAGCGGCTGAGTGCTGGGTCCTCAAGAGCTCAGGGTCATCTCTACCCCAACAAGACTGGAAGCTTCTGGCCTTCTGGCCTCCCCTGCTAGAATCAGAGCCTGAGACTGCAGGGGGCTAAGGAAACTGGAAGGAAGCTGATAGGTGATGGGAGGTGGGTAGGCCCATCTCACACTGGCCCTGCCTTCCTGCTGCCATGGTCCAGCCTCAGAGTGGGCATCCTAAAGCCTTCTACAGGCCAGATCCTGCACTACAAAGCATCGAGCAGCTGCTCTATCACCCCACAGTGCACTGCAAACGGGTCACAGCCTCTCTCCCTAGCCATTGCACAGGTTCACTTATTTATTTGTATTTTTGAGACAGGATCTCATGGAGTCCAGGTTGACACCAAATTCACTATATAGCCAACCTTGACCTCCTGATTTTCTGCCTCCCTCTTCCTAAGTGTTGGGATTATAGACATGTGTGTCACCACACCTGGTATATCCAGGCTTTCTTCTGTACAGATGGTCTACCAGCTATCTGTCAAAGCCCTGCCTCAATGTCACCTCCTAAGACCCCTTCCTGATGGTGCCAGCTCTCTACCTCTGTATTCCCCTCTGCTGAGAGTGACTTGGAAGTTCTTTGGTCCCACTGTTACTTCTCTGCCACCACCAGCCTACAAAAATACAAGCCTTGGGCTTCAGCTGTACCTCAGGGTAGAGCACTTGCATAGCATGCACAACAAGGCCTGGAGTTCCATCCAGAACCACAGGGTAGAGGGCAATGGTGGTGAATTGTGCCAGACACAACAACACCCAGGAGGTGGAGGCAGGAGGGTCAGGAATTCATGGTTAGCGTTGCCTACACAGAGAGTTTGAGGCCAGCCTATGCTACATCAGGTCTCAAGATTAATAAAAACCCCAAACAACCCTAACTGTAAGTATGTCCAAAGCGGGCCTTGGCCCCGAGCTTCCAGTGGGCTCAGAAACAAGCAGAGAGACCAGCAACAGACCGTCTCTACTGTGGGATGCTGCTCTGTCACTGAACTGAATGAAGGACTCACTGGTAGATACACCGTGGAGAAGACTCAAAAGCACAATGCGGAGTGAGAGAAGCCAGAGAGGAAGGAAGGCTACATATGGAGTGACCAGGCTGACAGAGCAGGCAAATCTGGAGACCAGGACTGTGCCCGAGGTTGCCAGGCCAGGGCGTGGGGAAGATAAAGGGCTGAGAGGCATGAGGTGCTGGTGTTTCTTTTTGGCACAAGGAGACATTCTGAAATTTACTATGGTGATGGATGTGCAACTCAAAGCATACCAAAAGGTGCTGAGCTGTATGCTTTAAGTGGGTAGATCAATGAGATGTCAGTTATGATGGTCCTTTTTATTTTTGTTTATTTAAGGGTTGGCAAAACAGCTCAGCAGATAAATGGACTTGCTGTCAATCCTCATGACTGGGTTTGATGTCTGGAACCCACATGTCATTGGCCCCCACTGGCTCATGAATTTGAGTGCCTGGTCACCAGAGAATGGATCTATTTGAATGGATTAAAAGGATTAGGAGGTGTGGCCTTGGAGGAGGTGTGTCTCTGGGAGTGGGCCCAGGCTATCTCTCTGCTGGCCTGTAGATCAGGATGTAGCTCTCAGCTACTGCTTCAGTGCCATGGGTGCTGCCATGCTTCCCACCATGATGATGACAGACTAAACCTCTGAAACTGTAGGCCAGCCCCAATTAAACGCTTTTCTTCATAAGACTGCCATGGCCATGGTGTCTCCTCACGGCAGTAGAACAATGACTATGATCCTGGCCCACCGTGTAGCTATGCCAGTCCTCTGGCAGCACCCTACACATCCTAAATGTTCTAAGGGCTTTCACACTTGCTCTTCTCTCTTCTGCAATGTTCTTTGCTTCTACAGTCATCTGGTGTCCCTCTCCTGCTCAAGTTGTTCAAATGGCTTTGTGGGGGCCTTCCAACACTAGACACAACCATAAGCACCTACCCCATGGCGGGCAAGACAGATGGCCTCTACCTACATCAAAGCCTGAAGATATTCAAATCCTTTTCATACTATGATACTTGGTTTACACAGGAACTCTAAATATATCCCATAGATTTTTTTTTTTAATATATAGTTTTGTGAGATGAGGATGCGCTTCAGGAGGCAGCTCTCTCCTTCTACCATGTGGGTCGCAGGAATTGAACTCAGGTTGTCAGACTTGGCTAAAAGGGCCTTCACCTGCTGAGCATCTCATTGGAAGACAGGACCTCACTGTTTTATGAACTTTCCTGGAGATAGGAACAGGCCTCTATTTAGGTCTAACAAGAGACCAAAGGAACAATCCCACCTAAGTGTAACTGGGTGAACCATGTGGTCTTGGTTACAGAAGCATGGGTAAGGGTGTCACTGAAAGCTGCAAGGCAGACCTCCAACTCCACAAGCAGAGTCCACTCTTACCTTACATACATGTACTCCAGCACTCATTGAGACTCTGTGCAGCGGAGACAGAACTACTGTGTACTGGAAGGAGGTGCAGATGGGAGCAGCAGACAGCAAAGGCAAAGGTCTGCGGGGCCTCCCCATCGCACCTTCAGTGAAAGTCAGCAGTCGAGCTATCAGGGTCTAAAACAGTAGCCAGCTGTGAATCCGAGACTAGCTAGGGCTGTACAGAGAGATCCTGTCTGAGGGGGGGGAGGGAAGAAGGGAGGGAGGGAGAGGTAGGGAGAGGGAGAGAGAGAGAGAGAGAGACAGAGAGAGAGAGACAGAGAGAGAGACAGAGAGAGAGAGAGAGAGAGACAGACAGACAGACAGAGACAGAGAGAGAGGAGGAGGAGGAGGAGGAGGAGGTGGCTCTTACACTTAGAAGACAATACCTCACAATGAACTTAGAGGACAATACCTCACAGTGATTCTCCTGCCTCAGCCTCCCTTGTGCTGGGATTACAAGCTCCACGCATGGGTCCTCTGTAGATTCCCTATCCTGTCTAGAGGAGACACAGACTACCCACTGTCCAGGCTGGCAAATGGCAGTGATCAAGACGCTTGCCAACAAGCTCAATGACTTGAATGCGATCCCTATATAATCCACATGGTGAAAGTACAGACTCAACCCCTAGAAACTGTCCTTTGACCTCCACACATTGGCCACAGCATACACATATCTATACACACACACCCCAACCAAATTAATAAATGTTATTTGAAAACTTTTTAAATTATGGGTGTGGGGCCAGGGTTGTGGTTCAGTAGGCAGAAACCTTTGTCTAGCCTGCACATAGACCGAAGTTCTACCAGAGGTGGCGGTACACACCTGTCATCCCAGCATTTGGAGGTGGAAGAAGGTGAGGAGTTCAAGGCCAGCCTTGGCTACAAATTAAGTTTGAGGCTACTTGGAAGGCTAAGGTAGGAGGAACGATTAAGCCCAAGACTCCTAGGGCAGCCTGGGCATCTCTCTCCCTCTCTCCCTGTCTCCTTCCCTCTCTTTCTCTCTCTCATACGCATACACAGACCAGACACAGACACAGACACAGACACAGACACACACACACACACACACACAGACACACACACACACAGCTAGTGAGATGACTCAGTGGGTAAAGACACTTGCAACATAGCCTGAGATGACCCAGGACCGAACATGATGGATGGAGAAAACTAACTCCCAGGCTGTCCTCTGACCTCCACATATGCACTATGACAGGAACACCCACAAATAAATAAATGTGGCCAAAATTTTAAAAATAACAGGCTGTGACTGCAGCTCACTTGGTAGACTGCTTACTTAGTATCCTGGGCTCTACTTCCAGCACCCAAAAAACTGGGTGTGCTGATGTATCCCAGCAATCCCAGAACTCTGAAGATGGAGGCAGGTAGGCTAGGAGTTTAATGTTATCCTCAGCTACATAGGGAGTTTAGGCCAGCCTGGGCTACGTGAGGCCCTATCTTAAATAACAGAAAGATGGTCAGATAACACAGCTACAGTGTCTGCTGAAGCAATGAATGGCCCCGAGAGAGTGGCCTGGTTCTGAGACTGGTTTGAGAACTGATTTCAGGGTGCTGCAGGGCCAGGTTCACACCACAAATAACTCATGTAGCTCTGGAGAACAGCCTACCACAGGGCCACAGCTTCCAGAAAACAAAAAGCCACTCAGTCCTGGTCCATCAATGAACACAGCGAGAACAGCTGGCTTCCAGTACAGATGCACCTTCCTGCACAATTTTAGGGCTAAGCAGCCAAGGCAGACTCTCCCAGAGACATTTCCCAGTGTGTCACACATGCCCAGTGACACACAAAAGTCCAGAGTCACTGTATAACTCACTTTGGTCTGGAGCTCCCCTAGCTTCTATTAACATATAAATTGAATTAGGAACTGTAAACTTTATGAGGCTCCAGAATTATGAGGCCGTAACTTAAAGGTCAAGGAGATTAACTTTCCCAGAAGACAGAGGTCTGTGGGAATGTGATGCTGATTTGGGGAGGGAGAGATCCTGGTTCAAGTGCTACCTTTACCTCACTGTAAAGGAGGGCTGTCTCCCAGGGACCCCGAAGGACTAAGTTGGTTTTCTGATCAAGAGTTTCAAACCATCCAGATGGATATGATCAGTGGTCAGATATGTGGTTAACCTGGGCTCCATATCCAGTACTTCAAAAAGAAAAACTGGAGAAACACACGTGAGATGTAAAACAAGAGCCTACAAGAAACCTCATCAGGTAAAGGTGCTTGCCACTAAGCCTGATGATGTGAGTTCAATTCCTGGGGCCCACTTGGTGAAAGGAAAAAAACTAACTCCCACAAGTTGTCTCCTGACTTTGGCATATATGCACACACACAAAATAAATGTAACAAAACCAGTGGAGCAGGATGGCTCATATCTGTAATTCCAGCATTTGGGAAACAGGGGCAGGCAGATTTCCAAGAGTTCCAGGACAGCATGGTTTACACAGTGAATTCTAGGCCAGCCTGTTTCAAACAAACAAACAAACAAACAAACAAACAAACAAACAAACAAGGGCTAGGGACATGTTTGATCCCTCGAACCCATATAAAAATACCTGGGCATGGTGGTATCAACTTACAATCCCAGCACTGGTGACACAGAGAAAGAAGGGTCCTAGGGCTAGCTCCAGGTTCAGTGAGCTCCAGGTTCAGTGAGAGACTCAGCAAAGATGGCTTGGTGGGTAAAGGTACTTGCCCATAAGCCTGGCAGCCTGAGATCAGTCCCAATGATCCACATGGTGGAAGGAAAGAACAGACTCCCACAGATTGTCCTCTGACCCCCACATGTGCACCAGCATGCACCTACCTTCCGAATAAAATAATTAAAAAAAAAGAAAAAAGAAAAAGCAGCAGCAAGGAGAGTGACTGATCTGGTTGTTGACAACCAGTTCACTCTGGTGTCAACCTCTAGCCTCCAGCCCTCATATATATGCATGAGTATGCAAGAGCACACACACACACACACACACACACACACACAATAAAGCAAGCAAGCAAACAAACAGAAAACCACCCTGAACTAATACGTTGGTGACTAGGAAGTGTCTGAGGCCGGGAAACTGAGGTCTGTGTTGAGAGCAAGCCAGAGCCTGTGGGCAGCTATTGTCATTTCCTGCTTGGTCCTCACCTAAGGGTGACTCCAAAGCTGGATGTTTTGGGGGGGGGAGGGGAGAAGCTTCAGATGCACCTGTGTCCAGGGGTGTCTAAACCCTCCGCTTCCCCCAGATGGACCTCTTCACTCGTTGTATAGAGCTAACCCTCAACCACCCCGGGCACCAGCCAAGACAGACAGTGCCACATCTGCTCTAAACCAAATCACATAAGAAAGGTCAGAGCCTGTTCAAGGATGAACAGCACCTGGAGTCCAGGTATAATTTTCTGTACTTGACACCTGACTGTTTTAGAGTGCCCACCAGGAAGGAGAGTTCCGATGACATTAGCACACAATGGTCCGGTCAGGGAGACAATACAGCTTAGTTGACATTACACAGAAATCATTCCCTATGTTTTCCTTTTCTTTCTGAGCCAGGACTCATGTAGCTCAACCTGGCCTTGAACAGTCTATGTAACCAAGGATGACCCGAACTCCTGATCCACCTGCCTCCACCTACCTAGTGCTGTCATTACAGCTATTTACCAGCACACCTGGTTTCAGGATGCTGGGGATGGACCCCAGGACTGCACCAACTGAACAACAGCTTGGCCTGGGATAAACCAGGCCTAGGCACCATTCTCTTGTTCCAGGGCCATACAGCATGCAGACCACCCTGTTTGACAGGAGTTACTTCCAGGTCCAAGGTCTGTGCCATTTTTGACATCAGGACTTTGTCAATCACAAGCCAATTCTGTTCAACTGCACCGTGAGGCAGCCCTGGGGGAAAGCTGTTCAGGAAGTGACAGGTGGTGTCCTGTCAAGGCTGCACGTGGCCGTGGCCGATCTTAGTTTCTCACAGGAACTTTTTTCTCACATCTCCACCAGGGTGACAGGTACTAGCACCACTCCTCAGGCAGAGGGCAGCAGGACTTTGGGTTGGAGTCCTGACTTAAAGGTTAATTGATGGTGCTGGCCCTGTGAGGGTATAAGGCGGCACCTCTCTGGGACAGCTAGGCCTCGAATTTGGGAGTCAGATACACATGGGTTCAAATCTCAACCCTGACACCTGTAGACTGACCTTCAGTGCGTGCCACACCCTCCCTCAGTTTCAAATTCCTCCTTCAGCGACACAACACCCAACCCGAGAGCACTACAGTATTTGATAGTGCACAGGCCGAACCTGGCACATAGGGAATGATGCACGAGGTCAGGTGTCACTTCCATGCCTCAGTTTCCACTTCTGTAAGACGGGGATCTCTCCCAAAATTACCGTCTCGAGGGCTGCTGTGAGGACAGAGAGTTGACAGGCTCCAGGACCCCAGCCCAGGGCAGCCTCTCCCTCAGACAGCAGCCTGAGTGTTCCCGTCTGCACCTCGTTCGCGGCGTCCCCTCGAGGAGACGGAGGCCGCTGCGGTCCTCCGTCAGGGCCCACGACCCTCCCGGATCCTCGGCCCGGGTGGATGCGGAGCCGATCCCTCAGCCCAGCCCCACAGGGGCGCGCCCAGCCCCGGTCCCCGGCCGCCCCGAGGCGCCGCTACCTATGGTGGAGATGAACGTGGAGTTGAAGGCGTCCTCGGAGAAGCGGAACAGGACACAGGTCTTCCCCACCCCCGAGTCCCCGATCAGCAGCAGCTTGAACAGGTAATCGTAGGTCTTCGCCATATTACACTCTCTCCCCGACGGGAAGTCCGGCCGGCGCCTCGCCACTGGCCGCTAGACCCGTCCATCATCTCAGATCCCGCCCCCTATTGGACCTCGGCCCGCCGCGCGTCACCGAGGCCGACGCCCGCCCTCCGGAGCCCCGCCCGTCGCAGGGAGCTCAGGGCAAAGAGAC